GTCTGTGTCCATCTGTCAGTGTGTGTGTGTCTGTCTGTCTGCATATGTACCTCTCTCTGACTGTGTCTGAGAGTGTTAAGTGGGGGCAGAGGGAGGTTGTACGTATTTTTATGTGCAATTAATTCTGTGTAGGGGGATTGCAATGGGAACACTGCCTCTGGCTTTGCCTACAGCTACCGGCATCACACAACCCCTTCCAATCTACTGCCCATTCTTATATGAGGCTCTCCTTTCCTTCTAGAACAAGACTTCCACAGAGAATACAAGTTTTCTAATTTCTATCATATGACGTTGTCAATGAAAAGCAGCTGCTTCTGCCACTGTAACTTATTTGGGCTGATAGTTAAAGTTATAATTCCAAAGTTACAGATAACTTTTAAATGTTCTACAAATACTGGAAGGCAAGGGGGTTTACCCATTCCTTCTATCAAAATATATATTCATGCGGTTCCCTCGCTGGGTATCTTTAAGAATCAATTAAAAACATGGATGTTTCGGCAGGCCTTCCCATCAGATAATTCCTGAAGCCCTTTTTTCCCCCTCTTATTGTTTCCCCCACTTTGTGTAATGTTTCACTATCTAACAATTCTTTTATATATCAGTTTTATTGTACTTTTATGTTGTTAGCCGCCTAGAGTGGTCCTGATCCGACCAGATAGGCGGGATATAAATAAAATAAATAATAATATATCCTTTTCTACAGAAGAAAAGGTTAACGGATCTCAGCTTTGTTTTTTTGTCTCTGTACTGAAGAGGGAGAACTGTTAATACTATCAATAGTCCAGAAGCTGAGAATTAAATTGTTGGAGCTTTGTCTTAAGAGAATATAAGAAAACTTAGAAAACAGCTCAGCTGGTATTGATATGTACATGGCCTGCCTCCTGTATATTCACTGCATTAATGCAATTAATGTCACTTCTAATGTGGCTCTGAATTGCACACTGAGGGAGATGAAGAGTCTTTATTTTTGCATAATTAAAATCACTTTTACATTTAAAAAAACAAAATGGAGTCAGACTATACTATAACTCATTAATACACAGACGATAATGTGATTTTAAAAGCCATGCTATTTTCCCCATCAAATGTGTGAAGCAGCAAGAAATATGTTTGGCAGGGCACCTGCCCTGTGGCCCCCTCCTTGAGTCATCCTTTCTCCGAAGCCAACCACCTTTGTAGCCCCACAGGGAACCATTTCCCAACAAGAGAGAGTCAGAAATAAGCCAGATTAACCCATTTGCTTGTTAAGGGACCACAGAGGGTCTGTTGTCACAGAGTAGATTACTTCATGTTTCTTTCAAATCCCTCTCAACAGCCTATCTTAGAATTTGGATGTTTCCAGAAAAGGCTTTTTATTCTGCAGTCAACCTGCCTCATTTTACAGGATGCTCACAAATCATCATCTTCCACTGGTAATCTTTCTCTGTTTCTCCAACGAAATCTGTTTTCTTACCCGACCCTTCTGTCTGGAAGAACTTTTCATCCCTCTTCCACAGAACTCTTTATTCTTAAATCGGCCTCTTTTGCCTGATGTTTCCTGTGTACCTGGAAACCTGTTCAGGCAGTTTTCCTGCTTTTTGTTTTATTTCAATGCCTGATTCATGTCCAACTTTATAACTTTCCTGCCGGTAATATTGTTTTTGTAACTTTTAAGCATAACTAGGTGGCAGTTCTTTTAGTAGAGTAGGAATAAAGGCTGCCACTGGGAAAAGGGTTGCTTTCAAATAAACTTGATATGTCAGTCCTGATAAGTAATAACAAAGAAAAGTATAGTCAGGAAGCCATTTATCAGCCTTCTCCTGGGGACTGGAAAACATGTTTATATCAAATTAAAAAGTCCATGGCTTACTCTAAACTAGAGTTTTTATAATATAAAGCCATTCCAAGAGAACATTAGCAAAGGAAAGCCAAATCATTTGAGAATCTTTATATACTAGGGCTGTCAATCAGCTGCTTTTTACTTAATAGATTAATTAACTGATTAAAAAAACTTTCAGGGAATCAAAACCAATGACCCTTTGAAGATATTTAATTAAGATAATACTTTCGTCCTTTTAAAACAGGCTAAACATGGATTTATTGGTTAGGAAAAAAGCTATCTTTAGCACATGTAATAAATCCAAAAGACAAACATAAGGGCTTGGATCCATAAGTGGAGAAGGTGGCATTGAGGACTGCAAGGGGAAGGGAAATGGCTGCAGGAGGAGGAGGAGGAGGAAATGAGCCTTTCCACTGATGAAGTGCTGGAGGCAATTTATATTGATCCTCCCTTCCCTTTGCAGTCCCTTATGTTCCCCATCAACTCTGCTTTGGAGGACTGGGGGACAACAGTGTTCCCATGCCCATCTCCACGAGCTATGTCTTTTTTATTGGCCTCCTTCCCTTCAAAACTAGCTACTGACACACTCATTTCTGGATTATGCCGCCAACAGAATCTCTGTAAGAGTCAACTCTCAATTTTCCCAGTACAGTCTACAATGTCTATTATGTTATTTTAGGTACCCAGAATGGTGTAGTGCAGGAGTCCCCAACCCCCAGTCTGTGGTCTGGTGCCAGTCCGTGGGCTTCCCAGAACTGGGCAGTGGAGACAGCTCTCCGCCCCCTGCACACACGCATGGTGGCCATGGAAACTTACTGGGGTGTCGTGGGCTTCCCAGAACTGGGCAGTGGAGATAGCTCTCCGCCCCCTGCACAAATGCACGTTCTTCCAAACTTACTGGGGTGTTTGGAACTGGTAAAGCCACTCCTTAAATATCTGGCTTACCTTGAAAGTCTTATTAGGCTCGCCATAAGTCAGTTCCAGTTTGACAGCACAGGACTCACTATGTTACCTTTGGCTTTCAGGTTTGATTCTATACTAGTGACCAAATATTACACATGGTTATGGGAAAAAAATTCATTTATCACAGTTCTGTGATGTTATCTATTTATCTCTGAGTGCTCACCACCCTCCAGCACATAATACCTTGGTTGTAGCTATATTAGGTCAAAAATATGTAACTGCAGATCTATTTCAGTGTACACTTGTCTCCTTTTCCCTCACTCTTGCTCAATTGATTATTCCCAGTTGCCCTCCACAAAGCCCAGTTCTCATGTCCCTCATTCACCCTCATATCCTATAATTTGAAGCTGTACCTTTATGGCCATTCCCTCAGCCAGTCCCAACACATTTGAATACACATTACTGTATTTGCCAATCATTCGGCCATTCCCTCAGCCAGTCCCAACACATTCGAATACACATTATTTGCCAATCATTTGACATCCATCAGTTACTCCACACACATGCACAAATGCTGCTGAAACTACCTGCTGCCATCCAAATGCAATGTACAGAAAATACAAACAGTGGCTAGATGTTTCCCCATGTACCACACTGATCAATGTACAAGTGAAAGAGGGAGCAAATGCACCAAAACAGTAGTAAAGCTCCAAAAAATTGTGATAAAAAAGCTAACATCTTTTCCAGACGCCTTTCAAAAATGACAGTAAAGCATGGCATGATGGCAGTTTCAGCTTTCATCCGATTTGGGTTTGAGACGCTAAACAAGCCCATCTTTTATCTGCAACCTTTGCAACTTCTGAAAACATTCCTCTACTAATTGTTGGATATCTTGCCATCTACATATAATGCCGTTTACGGACTTTTTTAGCTGGGAGGAACTCTTCAGGAGTGGGGTGGATGTCAGTCAAGTCAGTAATAGCCAATAGTTCTCTCTCTATCTCTGTCAGTCAAGTCAGTAACAGCCAATAGTTCTATCTCTATCTTAGATGCTTTGCCCCGCCTTTTTACAGATAGCTGGGGCTCTGTCAGTGATAGCAATGGAGTCTGAAGATAGTTAGAATGAAGTGTTCTGTCAGTTATATAACCAGTCAGTCAGCAATGAAGCTAATTCACCAGTTAAGCTCAGTGATATAACAAGTCAACATTTTCACACAATATGATGTTTGTTTTTATCTATGCAGAATTGTAAGTTAATGGAAATATTTTATTCTTTCTCATTATCAGAGTCTCTGAGTAAATGTATCAAGCCAGTAAGTGCCAGTTGAGGAAAACTAACAAATAAGGGGTGGTCTGCTGAGGGAGACTTGAAGCCAATCTGCTCTGTAGGTAACCATTTTATCCGCTGTGGAATTAGAAGAAGTTTATTTTTTTTATTTTAAATTCACACTCAGTTCCTCACACACTCTGCCCCCCAAGGCTAAACCACTGGTTACACTAGAAGAATGTGAGGAAAAAAATGAGCATGGATAGTGCAGCCCAACTGGGGAAGATACAGAACAGAACCATCAATAATCTGATACTTATTATTTCTTACCCTTCTAGTTTCTGCTATAGTGCTAACAAAGGTGGTATGTGCCACATGCTGTTGCAGGTGGAGTGCTTTGGTTTATGTTCCAGTCAGCCATGGAGGGTTCTCCCAGGGTGCATCTCCACTGCCTTTTCCATTTCTACTGTTACATCCACCCTGTTGGACCACAGTGCGCACAGAGCATTGTGTTCCTTTCTCTCCAAATCAAACACATACATCAGAGGAAGACATTTCCTTAGGAACCCCAGCAAAGGGAGAAGAATTTATATCTGTACTAATCCTAACAATTATCAACCATCTCCTCTTTCCAGGCACTTGCTATTTACATATTTAAAACATGAATGCTAAATATAAATATCTATGCAATATATTGCCTTGTTTGGCCTTTAATATCTTTCTAATTTTTTTTTTATAATATAAAACATAAACATACAAACCTAAAGGGGGGGGGAACCTAATAATACAAACATCAATAAGCAACTATACAAAAAGTGTTACCTCCCACCAGGGGGAGTATTGCCTTCTCTGTACTTTAATTTCAAGGTGACAAGACCAGTCTGTAGTTGGGGCTATGCACAGATAGGCCTCGTAGCAATACAAAGATTCCTTCTTGTATAGATTCTAAAGAGAAATATTGAAACTACAGCCCGCATCTTCCAGCACCAAGTATTTTGAGCATTTTTTTACCTTGAGGGCTTTCTGTGCAGCTTCACTTGAACCAATAGCAATGAGGTTTGGCCCAGCCATGCTGCAAAAACTCTTCAGGTGCAAGGAATCCGAAACGGGGACTGTGGAAACAGCATAGTCCTGCAGAGCAATTAGGTATTTGCAAGGAAAATACATTAGATACATAATTCCATAAATTGCTCTTAAAGATTGTACTTTTTCAGTGCCTTATTAAAAATACTGATGACTTGAGAATATAAACAGGAGTCCACTTAAGGCACAGCTATCTTTGGACTGCTGTGCCCTGTACATACAGTATAATATACCACTACTATCATTTCTTCAGGAAACGAGTAAATAAAAGTATTGTTTAATCAATATGCAAAGTGAGTGCAACTGGTAATTGACTTTAAGGTCTTCTAAAGCAAGTAAAGGTTGACTAAGAGTTTGAAAAATAACCACCATCATTTCCTAATAACAAACGCATCCTAAATGCTTTCTCTGGAATTAAATAATACCAAAGTCAATGGAATGTACGTGCTTATAAAGCATCTAAATTTGGAATATGCAAAATCTCAATAATTATATCAGGCTTTATTGTTTGTTTGTTTGTTTGTTTAGATTGTACTTTGTTCTTCCAAACTTCAGAGGCTGCCTAACTTAACATTTCCAAAACTCTTTAGTGTTGGTAATTATAAATCAAGCCTGCTTTGTGTCAAGTGAAATTCCTTTCACTATAGAGATCCAGAGAAACAAAAGACATCTTCAAAACACATATCTGCTATAAGAATGTTTAAGCATGGAACTGTTGGGAGTTTTTACAACCTTGCATACTGCCTATAGTAGCTGTGTCTAGGAAGGACTTTTCTGGGCTGGAGGGAATTGTCAATCTATCTAGCACTAACTAATCATTCCTTCTCTGCTTCTGAATTCAAAGAGAGCCTCACTTCTCTGCTCAGAGCTTTTTCCTTCTCTAGAGTCTGTTGAATTTTGTTGTTGAAAGCAGTAATACCGTATTTGCCGGCATACAAGGCGACTGGGCGTATAAGGCGACCCCCCAACATTTCCACTCAAAATATAGAGATCCTTATATACTCGCCATACAAGACTACTCCCTCTTCCACACACCTTCCACACACCAAATGTCTGGGGTCGTGAGGTGTCTGTTTCAAAGCGTCTGAAACACTTTGAAGTGCTGCCTCCGTTTGTTGCCTGGAGGACTCTGCTGCCAGGGTGACTCTCCCTCCGGAGGACCAGCGAGACAAACCGGAGAGACCAGCCGAGACGAGGGGGGGGGAGAGATACTTTTGAAAACTGGCTCCATGGATTGTGCCTGCAGGGAGACCAACTTGAGCAGCTCGAACAGCGGGAGAACTGTCGGGCCCGAGAACCGGGAGCAGCATTTTTGGGAGGTGGGAATATTGGTGGAGCTCTGCCTGGGCTTTGACTCGGGGGAGCTCCCTCCTAGACTGGAGCTCCCGAACAGAGGGACGTGGTGTCCTGGCTTTCAGAGTCAGCCGCTGGAGGGGCACTCGGAGACATGATTCAGTTTCACGCTGTCAGGTGCATGCAATTATATCTTCTCCGGGCTGTTGGGGTTGAAGTGAACCCAGCATACAAGACGACCTGCCCCCACTTGGAGGGATGTTTTTCAGGGCCAAAAAGTCATCTTGTACGCCGGCATATACGGTACATGTCAGTTTGCTGTCTGATCTGTTCAACTTGTTACTAATAAAGCCTTTTATTCTTTCTCCTACTCATGTCTCAGAGTGAGTTAAAGAGACTAAGTGCCTGTTGATGAGAAAAAGTGGTGGACCACTTTGGGGAACTTGAAACTATTCTGCTCTGTGAATTTTTGCTGCACAGCTAGAGGAATTTAACCAGAAATTCCAAATTCTGTAACAGGAAGAAACACAGAATTGTTTATCTTTTGGGAACTCTGGTCACCTAAAAAAAAAATGAAAAGTAAATTTTTCAGTGGAGGCCTAGAAGGGGACTTGAATATTGTTAAATCTTGGAATGGAGAAATATGTGGCCCTCAATATGTTGTTGAACTGCAAAGTCCATCATCTTTAGCCACTGGACGTACTGTACAGTGGGGGCTTGACTTGAGAACTTAATCCGTATTGGAAGGCGGTTCTCAAGTCAAAAAGTCTGTAAGTCAAGTCTCCATTGACCTACAATGCATTGAAAACCAATTAATCCCGTAACAGGCCGTTTTTGTTCCATTTTGGTTTTTTTCTGGTCTGTAAGTCAAATCTCAGTCTGCAAGTCAAACCTAAATTTTGTGGCCAGAGAAGTCTGTAACTCAAAAAGTCTGCAAGTCAAGCCGTCTGTAAGTCAAGGGTCCACTGTATAGGATTGATGAGAGTTGCAGTCCAATAACTTATTTAGAGCCCACCCTCATTTCAAACTTTACACCTTAGATCTGTGCATATTTATATGGAGGTAAATCCCATTTATCTTTATGAGAGTAAATATGCAATTGTAGCACAAGCAGAAATCATGTTAAATCACCCTCAAATGTAGTGCATATATTATAACTTCCATTAAGAGTAATCTTATTTGCTGTAGCTTGGTGGTTCCTGAACTGAAGGCATGCTCCCCACCCCCACTCCCGGGTAAGGTACAGAGAATATCCAAGGGACTTCCACAAAAAAACTAAAAATTTCATTTAAAAATTTATCATCTGAAACTAATTTCTGTGATAGATATTTTTGTTAGAACATAGGGTTTCTGAAGAAAAACCACTTCTGCATATTTTCTATTTATAATAATTTTATTAAGATTTTGTCTTTATTTATTTCTTACTTTTAAATCATGAGTTTTTTTGTCAAAGTGGATGATAAAGGAGAGGTAAAGAAGCATAAGAGCATCTCAACAATTAGGAAAGGAAATGACGACAAACATTTTGGGAAACATGGTTATAACAAAATCTTCTTTCTCTTTTAGATATTATAGAACATGGCTCTTCTTGCATTACTTTACCCACCCAAGTCAATTCTCAAGTCTCCTAACCTTAAAGGTGTCTGCCAGAATTTCTGCACCACGACGATTGGTCCGTTTTGAAAGGCCCACAAAAAACTCTCTACCTGGGAAAAAGAAAATGAATAGGTGTGGGTCAAGCTCAGGTGCAGGAAAAGTATCAGCAGCTTTTTTTTCTTTTCATTTGACTGAAGATGCTAAAATATGAATAATTAATTATGTATAGACATGCCCTTCAAAGACCACCAATTCACTTTCTCACACACAGTAGGAGTCATGCAACATCAAGTTTAATTATTGCTTTAAAATGTTAAAGTAGATTAAATTTTATTTATGCATTTGAGAAATATAACAAAAACCACTATTTCATTTGAAAATTCTGTGGTGCTCTTGAAACAGATACTTTATAAGTCACGAATGGCATTCAGCTTGTGTATATACAAAACTTGCTGAATGTACTTGGCGACTTTAAAGTATCAGTATAAATGGATTCTGTATTATGTATATTCTAATCTAAGCATAATTCCATGAGAAAGAATATATAGTTCTGAAAAGCTAGATAGTTCTTGTAAAGTTACAAGCATACTTATATTGCTACTAATCCACCAAAACATATCATCCTTTCTACTTGTATTTTGAGATCATCAGAGTAATCTGTGCTGATTCTAAATTTTGTTGCAGGATGGTTCCTGGTGATCTCTTCCTCCTTCCTACTCCTTCTCAATGCTATTGACTAGTCAATAATAGTCTCCTTTGGGGCCTACCATCAGCTCCCAAAAAAGAGGGATTTACAGAAAAGGAAAGACAACACTTGCAGAAGCTCCTGTTTCCTCTTGCACCTCTCACTGCCTATAGTTTCACAGTGGAGGTGAACTAACAGCAACAGCAAGGAGAATGAGGAATGCATGGGAATGCCAGGGACCCCAAGTGGGTTATCTGCTGAGATGTGGGCCTTAGCAGTTGCCCAACAATGCTAACCTCTGACACATACTCTGGGAACAGTATTATTCCAAATAATTGTATACTAAATTTGAAAGATTGTCTTCTCTCAATTTTGCATACATATTGGCATGTGTCACAGGCAGTAAGCAATATGGGCAACTTATATGATTGGTATGGTTATGTTATGTTTTAATGATGCAGTAGGGAACCCGGGATAATGGATCTTCAGTTTTCCCCTGAAGTTTGCTGATTTGGCTGGAACACAGAGACAAATTATTAATTTTCTATATTATTTTCTTGGACAGAATGGTTCCAGGAGGTCTCCTTAATGATCGTCAGTGATCCAAGCAAGGGAGCCCCCCATTCTGCATAGGTAGAAGGAAGAAGACTTTTTCTCTTTAGATGATGTGTTGCTGGTAGCTGTGATGGCTTCCACGCTACCCATAATAATGTCTACATGCTCCCATTTGATTAGGGCAGGCCATGTGACTAGGTACCAAAGTTAGATATGGCCTGAAGACTTATCAATGCAACAATGGCTGTCTATAACAAAAAAAACCAAAAAAAAAAAAAAAAAAAAACAAAACACACACACTACAATTATAATAGGAGGGTTGACTGATGATTATGTTTTCCTGAGTAGCACGTTACATTTCACAATGGTAGTACATCACACTTTTAACAAGACGTCTGATTCACATGTAACCTACTGTGACAAGTAGATTTTCTTGCATTTGGCTCACTTCTATATCAACCATTTATCAGATATTAGGGAATTTCTATGTTAGGAACCCATTTTCTATGCTTAAAGCATCATGTCGTTATCTGGTAAACAAATCAACTAATTTAAAAATGTCGTATCAGAAAAAAATCTGATAGATATTAATTATCTCTATACTATCCAGGTGTCTAAGCTGCTGAAACATGAAATGGTAAATATGCTAGCTTTAAAATTTATTTTTACCTGTAAATAAAACATCTCCTCCATCTAACGTTGCTTGTTCATCTGTCATTTCTACAATGTTCAGATTGAGGCTTTCAAGTGCTCTCTTCATGGCTTCCACCTGTTTAAAAAACAACATATTGTACAATTCCATTTGGCTGCAGTTCTTAACATACAGATAGATGCATAGATATATAAGCTAATGCATGCTTTTGGACTTCAAATCAACTTCAACATCTGCGAGTCAACCAAGAAGGAAATGCCCAGAAATTTGATGAAACATAGTCTTCACATTGTTCAGAAAAATATATTTCAAAAGTTATAACTTGGGATGAGAAAAACCCTTAGTCTTGTATGGTCCCCTTGCCCCCTTTCAGGGTAACATGAGAAATGGCAGAAAGGTTCCACTGGTTTTCTCTGGACTGCATCCAGAATGTAGAGCCAAGGCATTGGTCACAACAATAAGATAAACCAGGTGAAAGGAAAGCAAGAGACAAGTTCTCAGAATATCAAGATCTGTACTAGCACAAAGAAAGCAATGCCTCCTCCATCCACCTTGGTACAGTGATGCCAAGTGAAGTGGCTGAAGTTGAGAGCAGGTGAATTTATTATCCTGGTAGGGAAAACAGCCTTGGTACAGTGATGCCAAGTGAAGTGGCTGAATTTGAGAGCAGGTGAATTTATTACCTGGTAGGGAAAATAGGTAGTAGGTGGACACAACTTTGATATAACTCAGAAGCTATATATTAAAAAAAAAAAAACCCAGAAGCCTTCACCACCAGCTGTGCTGGCTGGGGTTTCTGGGAGTTGCAGTTCAAAAACACCTGAGTAACCCAAGGTTAAGAACCACTGAGGTAGTAGGTGGGCACAACTGTGATATAACTCAGAAGCTATATACTGTATTTTAAAAAAATACCACAACTATTCCCAGATGTAATATCTATAGTGTCAAAAGGCTGGAGCTTAAGAAGGTTATTTAGGTCTTGTAACAACATCAGTGAATTGTTTGAATGAATACTGTAAATTAAGGAGCCCAAGAGTTTCATCCCGGAAACACAAAACCAATGTTGTCTCTCTTCTGTTTTAACAACAATTTTAAAAAACTTTACGAAATATATTTTTACACGTTTAACTAAACCAATGGGGTTTTTGAACCCCTGAAATTCACCCTTATATATAGCCATGCCAATGGCACAGAAGTGCTAGGAGGCAAAAGGTCTGAGACCAGCTAACAACTAGCTTCCCTAACCCTGAGATCACTCAGTCTAGAATAGATCCTCCAAGATGGAAAGCCTTTGAATCCTTTTGAGGGGCCAGTCTCCTCTTAACTCTTAGTGCCTTGGATAGTGTAAGAAAAACAAGTTCATCAGTATAGGCAGGGAAACACATGCAGGGAAAAATCATGGAGAGGCAGTGGTATTATTATTATTATTATTATTATTATTATTATTATTATTATTATTATTATTATTATTATTATTATTATTATTATTATTATTAATTGGACTTATATACCGCCCCATAGCGCTACAAGCACTCTCCGGGCGGTTTACAATTTTTTTTAATTATGCAGGCTACACATTCCTCCCCCCCCCAGCAAGCTGGGTACTCATTTTACCGACCTTGGAAGGATGGAAGGCTGAGTCAACCTTGAGCCGGCTAGCTGGGATTTGAACCCCAGGTCGTGAGCACAGTTTTGGCTGCAGTACAGCGTTTTAACCACTAGGCTTTGTGCTTCTCATCAAAAGGTTGGAGGGAGCTTAAGAAGAATAGCCACCCCCAGAAAAAATAAATAAAAAGACTCAACTAAAGGCAGAAATGGACATTATAGTTAGATTGTGATTAGAGCTGAAAACACATTTGTGTTAGAAAAACCATGGTTGAAAAACCAGAATGCAAAGGAATGCTGGAGATCAGTCACTCACAACACAAAACCTAATTTCCAAGTTAGAGGTGAGAGAAGCTTCCGGCTGAGCTTTCAGATACTTTTAGTATTTAAAGATACCTCTCCTTTAATGACAGATTAATGTATTTGTGACATCTGTTTTGTCACCAAAACTAAACTCTTGTGGTTTCCCCTCTGTCTAGAGTTCTGAAAGATATGCCACTGTTTTGGGGCCTTTACTCCTCTGATCCCCTTCCCTGGCAGGGATTCATATATTGGATCAGATTGCTAACAGACCAGTGATGCACTTTACTAGCTGTAATAATTTACTTACTGAAATAACTGGAAACAAATGAAAGGCAAAGATAGGGGAATATGTCTAGCTGCCACGCATTTTCACTTGTTGGCTTGCATTCATTCTCTCTCCGTGTCTCCCAAGGGCATATGTTTTTCCTATGACGTTTGCTAAGATTTTGCAGTGGAAGGAAAGAACTGTGATAGCTCCAGATTTTTCCTTTATATGTATCCACAGTTAATGTGTTTCATGTCCAAAGAGATGGATAAAACATAAAGGGGGTAGACTCTTTTCAGCAGTCTAAAGCTATCCCACCTGCAAGATAGCACAAGGAAAACTTGGCAACAAATATGCCTCATTTGGTGCCTATCAGTGGGTTCCTGAGACTTCCACCCATTTACTGTACTGGACTTTCCAATTATTGCCTATGTAATCCCTGTGGCCTAACTGTATGGGCAGATTTTTAAATAAAGGGGCTCTGTTTTTAAAGTTTTGGTTTAGAGAGGAGAGTTGGGGAGGAACAGAGTTGCTTCTTCCCAGAAGCAGAAATTAGGCCCTAATCACATTGATTTAAGCAACAGTATTTCAAATAGCTCCTTCATGGATAACTGCCTTTTCATGGCGAATGGGCTTCAGTAATTCAGAGAAGCTATGGGCTATGCCGTGCAGGGACATCCAAGACAGATAGGTCATAGTGGAGAGTTCGGACTAAATGCGATCCACCTGGAGCAGGAACTGGCAAGCCACTCCAGGATCTTTGCCAAGAAAACCCCATGAACAGAAACAAAAGGCTAAAAGATATCGCGCTGGAAGATGAGCCCCTAAAGTCAGAAGGCATCCAACATGCTACTGAGGAAGAGAGGAAGACAAGTACAAGTAGCTCCAGAGTTAATGAAGTGTTTGGGCCAAAGCCGAAAGGACACTCAGCTGCAGGCGTGCCTGGAAGTAAAAGGAAAGTCCGACGCTGCAAAGAAAAATACTGCATAGGAACCTGGAATGTAAGATCTATGAACCTTGGTAAGCTGGATGTGGTCAAACAGGAGATGGCAAGAATAAACATCGACATCCTGGGTGTCAGTGAACTAAAATGGACGGGAATGGGTAAATTCTATTCAGACGATTATCATATATTGTGGGCAAGAATCCCGTAAAAGAAATGGAGTAGCCCTCATAGTCAACAAAAGAGTGGGAAAAACTGTACTGGGATACAATCTCAAAAAGGATTTCAATACGAATCCAAGGTGGACCTTTCAACATCACAGTAATCCATGTTTATGCACCAACCACCAATATTGAAGAGGCTGAAGTTGACCAATTCTATGAAGACTTACAACACCTTCTAGAACTGACACCAAAGAAAGATGTTCTTCTCATTATAGGGGATTGGAATGCTAAAGTAGGGAGTCAAGAGATAAAAGGAAAAAACGGGTATGGTTGGCCTTAGAGTTCAAAATGAAACAGGGCAAAAGAGAACAAGCTGGTCATCACACTCTCTTCCAACAACACAAGAGGTGACTAAACACATGGACATCACCAGATGGGCAATACCAAAATCAGATTGATTATATTCTCTATAGAAACTCTACACAGTCAGCAAAAACAAGACCTGGAACTGATTGTGGCTCTGATCATCAGCTACTTATAGCAAAACTCAACCTTAAATTGAAGAAAGTGGGGAAAACCACTGGCCTTATGAGTACACATTGGAAGTGAAGAACAGATTTAAGGAACTAGATTTGGTGGTCAGAGTGCCTGAAGAACTATGGCTGGAGGCTCGTAACATTGTACAGGAGGCAGCAACAAAAACTATCCCAAAGAAAAGGAAATGCAAGAAAGCAAAGTGGCTGTCCAACAAGGCCTTACAAATAGCAGAGAAGGGAAACAAAATGCAAGGGAGATACGGAAAGTTACAGAAAATTGAATGCAGACTTCCAAAGAATAGCAAGGAAAGACAAGAGGGCTTTCTTAAATGAACAGTGCAAAGAAATAAAGGAAAATAATAGAAAGGGAAAAACCAGAGATCTGTTCAAGAAAATTGGAGCTATTAAAGGAACTTTTTGTGAAAAGATGGACATAATAACAGTAGGGACCTTGATAAAACGATAGGGACCTAACAGAAGCACAAGACATCAAGAAGAGGTGGCAAGAATACACAGAGGAATTATACCAGAAAGATCTGGATGTCCTGGACAACCCAGATAGTGTGTTTGCTGACCTTGAGCCAAACATCCTGGAGAGAGAAGGCAAGTGGGCCTTAGAAAGCATAGCTAACAACAAGGCCAGTGGAGGTGATGGCATTCCAGTCGAACTATTTAAAATCTTAAAAGATGATGCTGTCAAGGTGCTACACTCAATATGCCAACAAGTTTGGAAAACTCAGCAGTGGCCAGAGGATCGGAAAAGATCACTCTACGTCCCAATCTCAAAGAAGGGCAGTGCCAAAGAATGCTCCAGCTACTGTACAATTGCACTCATTTCACACGCTAGCAAGGTTATGCTCAAAATCCTACAAAGTAGGCTTCAGCAGTATGTGGACCAAGAACTCCCAGAAGTACAAGTTAGATTACAAAGGGGCAGAGGAACTAAAACCAAATTGCTAACATGTGCTGGATTATGGAGAAAGCCAGAGAGGTCCAGAAAGTCATCTACTTCTGCTTCATTGACTATGCAAAAGCCTTTGACTGTGTGGACCACAACAAGTTCTTAAAGAAATGGGAGTGCCTAATCACCTTATCTATCTCCTGAGAAATCCGTATGTGGGACAGGAAGCAACAGTTAGAACTGGATATGGAACAACGGATTGGTTCAAAATTGGGAAAGGAGTACGACAAGGCTGTATATTGTCCCCTGGCTTATTTAACTTATATGCAGAATGCATCATGCGAAAGGCTGGACTGGATGACTCCCAAGCCGGAATTAAGAGTGTTGGAAGAAATATCAA